ACCGTTTTAACGTTTAACCGTTTAAACGTTACGTTACGTCACGTAAACTAACTAACACGTAGACGTACTATATATATACTACTATATATATATTATATATATATATATATCGTATATCTATCTATCTATATATATATATATATATATATATCATATATCTATCTCTATATATATATATATTGATAAAAACTATAGGCTCTTTGGTTGGAGTTATGTGTTGTTCCATCAGGACGGGCTGTGTATAATTAACGAGCATCTATTGAGAAAAAAGCTGCAAACATCATTAATGTGCATCGAGGATAGAAAGGAACAAAACCATTGCCACATGCACCACATCGAACCACCACCAGCGAGAAACTTTCATGAAAATCATATCTCTTAAAACATCGCCTGCATTTAACAATAGAGATGCAGATTATTGAACGTGGGGAATTTTGCACGGCTCCAAATGCTGTACGAATACGAATAACAGCATTTAAACATTTATGCGAAGCAATCACGGGTACTAGTAGCTGAAAAACAGGAAATCGTTTTAGGAGATGTGATTTATTATATTGCGAACGCATTAAGCTGCAGCCCTCGCGTACTCTACCATCTACCACCTACGACAATAGGTAGATGCTGCTTACATATGTTACCCAAGCCGAGTCAGGTATGATTCGAGTTCACAAGAGCGGACCGTGACTGTTATAATTGAAAACACGATAGGAAAATCAGACTGCGATAAATTCTAACGAAGACGAGGTACGGTGACTCATTAGCATCGATGGACAAACTGTATTTTCTAAATTACAGATACTGTCAAATACACGGTAAGATGCACAGTATTATAGTACTAATACCCCCCTAACATCGCACCATTAACAGGCTTAGTACGCCTATTATTGAATATGGTCGAATTAATAATAAAAAGGACAACACGCATAAACATTATCATTTGTCTCCTTAGTCCTAATGAAAAGCAGTGGCCGATGGTCCACAAATATGTTACTTTACTTTTCTAAACATAATACAGATCAGGGCTGTAGCCTGTGTGTGTGTGTGGGGGGGGGAATTAAAATATAACCTTAGCTAATAATCGTAAATATCCCTAACGTGATTTATTTTGGTCACTTATTCATGAAGGCCTTGTCTCAGACCCACCCCTTCCACGCTATGGACGTGCTATAGAGCTGCGCCCGTCGCTCATCATTACACAGTTGAGTCATGAAATTTCCCCCCCCCCCAGGAATTTGCTCAGCCTACGGCCCTGCAGATTGAATTTATTTTCACTTTACAAATTAATATTTTAAGCTCAACTGTATAAACGTATTCGTAACATATAAGGTACAGGCACTAACAACAACAGTAAGAGAGCATTTGGTTGCAAAGGCAAGACAGCAGTACAGCACGGCCGTACCACATGAGATATTAGTTCAGACAATTACTTTTACATAAAACAGAGTGCTATCACAATGGGCAGACACACACGTGTATACATATATACCAGGAGTTAATGAGACAAATTTTGTGTCTCATTAACTCCTGATATATACACACACGCACGCACGCACGCACGCACGCACGCACGCACACACACACACACACATATATATCATGTATCAACCGTATGATATATCACTTAACTAATCTGGGGCCCGTTGTCAGAAACAAAATTAGTCATAACATTAGTCTTAACATCGACTTCTTTTCTTAGACAGCTGACAGAAAAATGGTTACGAGAATAAAAAAATCCTACTTTATTCTCAAAACTATATTCTGTCAACGATCCACGAGAGGAAATTTCGCGTTGAAACTAGCGCCAGGACTAATTTTGTTTCTGAGAACTTGCCTCCCTCCCCCCAACCCCGGTCGCCTTTTTATCGTAGCTGGCACAGGAGGCGAGAGCGAAATGACTAGCTCACCTCTTTGGCAATCTCTTTCTTTATCCTACTTGAGCTGGGCTGAGAATCATCTAGGTCCATCGGTTCGGCCGTCTGCTTGCGCAGCCCGTCTACCAAGCTCCGCGCCGGCGCCGGCCCATCCTTCTGTAACATCACCGTCCGCATCATTAACGTTATCATTGGACAGCTTTCGTGTCAAACCATATGGATTAATGATCAATGTATATACATATATATCAATCTATCTCTATCTATGTAACGTTATCACTTGTCGCGGCGGTGTTTAATACGCTGTCGCTTGCTAGCCAATATGGCCAGTGTCGACGACCAACGCCTTTTGGTTTTATATATGTTGCCTCCCACTCTTAGACTGTTGGAAATCTCTTAATGAGACTATGTAATCTGCTCGACACGGGTCAGCTTTTGTGTCAACGGCATCTGATTAACGATTAATGTATGTATAATACATGATTATAGTAGTATATCTATGCTGTCTCTCTCTTCTCTTCTGCTCTCTCTGTGGGGCTAGTATATATATACGTACGCTGCGGTACCCGCTGGCGGGCTGGGTAAAAATCTGGTGGCTCGCGTTTATAGTTCTAGTACTATTACTATATATTATGGGACACGAGTAGGGAAACATTCGGGGTAAGACATCGACATTGGAACATTGGCACCGAGTATTATGGGCAATATTTAGAATATCGGTCTAATCGAAGATTAATAAGCATGGGTGAATGAACTGTTACGTATGACATTTATGATGACAGGGCACAGCACCACCTTAGAAGCACCTGAGAATAATATTAAATAGGTAATATGGCTACATAGGGTGCCTTGTCCGCCTAGGTATGACGCGGAACGTACGGCGCTGGGTGGGGCTATTTGATATGGTTAGTGTTAGGGTGTGGGGTTGGGGTTAGCGGAGTAGGCGTAGGCGGACTCCTAGCCATCGTTAGTCGGAGGTAGGCGAAGTACGGTTCCGGCAATAATAGATAGTAGCAGGGTACGTTTCCGGTATAACGTCGCACGCGTAGCGCCCAAGGTACGGTTGCGGCGGCAAGTATCGCGGTGGCGGGGGGGGGGGGGGGGGGACATGCCCACAGACCCTGCGGCTGCAGCAGTAAGTATGGAGTAAATTGGAGCAAAAGCTATTGTTAGTAGTAACAGCATGTAGATATGGGTTGGACTTTATGCGTTTGAAAGACTCGTTGATAACAATGTTTATTCGTGTTATTGACTGCTGGTGGGCAGATATGTGTAGAGATTCGTGGGCGTATCGCACTGTTCAGCTCGCCCACGTACGCTATCGGGCATTGTGAAGATCGTAGCGGCTGACTAAATAGAGAAATTCCATATATAGTATAGATAGAGGAGCAGGCCAGCGAGTGGAGTTGTGTGCCACTGGATTTGTCTAGTGAATGCTTTGGCGTGGCCACGGATGCGGCAAGATTGAAATTAAGAAATTTTTGTATTGAATCAGGAAAATGCATAGCTTTGTGAATGGTACAGGTATGCATTATGCAGATGTGCGTAGCGATGCTGAAGCGCGAAACATGCTGAACTGAGAGTGAGTAGTACGGCTTGAACTGGTGCGTGGTTTTATGCTCTGTTTGTTCTAATTTCGATTTTCGGTTTCGGTTTTTCTAGCATACGGGGCAGGCAGCTGATGAGAATCATGGAGGTGAGGGGCAAGAAAATCAATAGTCCATAGGCTAGTTGCTTGGACATTGTGTGAAAGATTGCGGATTGGAGGGGTTTTTCAGCGGATTTGTTGGCCGGGCGAGTTTGCGGGTTTGACAGGCTTTTTTCAGTAACGGAATCCGCACGGGGTAAATAGAGAGATGCAGGCTGTGAAAGTTGGCATGCGCAGATGGCGCTTTGGGGGTTGTGACCGCTATAGGGAAGATACTAGCAGTAGATACGAGTGTACATAGATACTATACATAGATGAATTATCGAGATCAATATTATTAGATATATTGATATAATAGCATAATATATAACATAAATAATAATATAAATATATAATGTAATCATTGTAAGACGTAAAAGCTTGATTGCATTGGTCACTTCCACTTTGACATCATCATGTGTCTATGATCGTACGTGCGTAGTGACGCAGACAGAATCGTATAAACATGGCGGATGCACTCACGTAGTCGACGTTTTGCCGTGCCAGGCTGCACACCTTGTGCCACGCTACCTCTCTGTGCTTCTCCTTATCCTGGTCTCTGTTAAAGTTGAAGAAATTCTTATAATTCAACAATAAATACCAAACCGGTTGCATTTTCGCTGCAGTGAATACCAAACTGATTGCATTTCAGCTACCCCATGTCAATCATCCTCACAAATATTCTAGCTAACGATGGTGACACTCGATGATAGTAGCAGTGATTAATCGATCTACCTAACCATGTTTTACAACACGACTGCTCCGTTCGTAGAACATCGTATTTGTATTCTGGGAAACCACAATTAGTACAGCTGCAAGAAAAAAACTGCAGACGTTGCAAAAATCGACACGTCTCATTATATGCTAATAGATTTTAATACAATTTAGAATTAATGCTTTTTGCATGGAAACAATACAATGGTTCTGTTAAATAGCTATTTACTATTTACTATTACCCTATAGCACTATTTACACAAAGTGAAACCTGTGTTAGACACCACCTCTACACTATGATGTTGATGAAGCTCACTTTTCACATTTCCCACGTGTAGCCTTACACCTCCATAGAACAACCAGCTGTATATAAAGGTCATTACTGCAGTTTCCAATTAGTGGCCCTTACACACACGTTTGGCGATACATTAATTTACTAGTCCAAAAACAAGCGTATCATCTCATCCACCCTAGGCCATCTCACCGGAAAATTTCGTTTTGGGATGATGGCTAATATGACTACTGACAACGGACGCCACGCACCTCTGAGCTTTGTAGTTCTGCGTGCAGTCGTCAAACAGCTTCTGGTTCATCTCCATGAACAGCTTCAGTGCATTGTAGATGAGCCCGTGTATCGTCCTGCAAGCAACGACAAAATCCACGATCAGTACAGCCAGCGCCCTCTAGCGATTCGTCCACGCTCAGCGCGACCAGTACAGCCAGCGCCCTCTAGCGATTCGTCCACGCTCAGCGCGACCTGTACAGCCAGCGCCCTCTAGCGATTTGTCCATGCTCCGCGTGACCAGTACGGTCAGCGCCCTCTATCAATTCGGCGGGCATGTGGCAGTAATAGCGTGCGAGTCTGGAATGGTTGCTACGACGACACGGGCAGAGTAGTTTCCGGTGGGAGGGGCAAGGGAGAGAGCTTCCGCACCCCCACTCCCATCTCCATTTTGGGGATACGAAATAAATACTTCGATGAATGTGCACGCCCCAACAACAAACACGATAAATAAATAACAGGGGGAAAAACGATCTTTTCGAATTGCACTGTTCGTTTCTTGACGGCAACAAATGCATTACCCCGCTCAGTCACTCTCGCTCACTGTCGCACCCCGCTCAGTCGCTCTCGCTCACTGTCGCGCCCCGCTCAGTCGCTCTCGCTCACTGTCGCGCCCCGCTCAGTCGCTCTCGCTCACTGTCGCGCCCCGCTCAGTCGCTCTTGTCCACTGTCGCGCCCCGCTCAGTCGCTCTCGCCTACTGTCGCGCCCCGCTCAGTCGCTCTCGCCAACTGTCGCGCCCCACTCAAGTCGCTCTCGCCCACTGTCGCGCCCCGCTCAGTCGCTCTCGCCCACTGTCGCGCCCCGCTCAGTCGCTCTCGCTCACTGTCGCGCCCCGCTCACTATCGTGCCCCGCTCAGTCGCTCTCATGCCCCACTCAGTCACTCTCGCCCACTGTCGCGCCCCGCTCAGTCACTCTCGTTTCCTGCTCAGTCACTCTCGCGCCCGCTCAGTCACTCTCGCCCATTGTCGCACCCCGCTCAGTCGCTCTCGCTTCCCACTCAGTCACTCTCGCCCATTGTCGCGCCCCGCTCAGTCACTCTCGCCCATTGTCACGCCCCGCTCAGTCACTCTCGCTCACCACTCAATCACTCTCGCCCATTGTTGCGCCCTGCCCAGTCGCTCTCGCTCACTTGTTCCAGTGCGCCTTCGAGTTCCTGTAGAGCGCCGGGAACATGATGGGCAGGATCGTCGTCGCGTTGTCGCTGATCAGGCTCAGGATGTACTCATTGTTCCAGTAGTAGAGCGCGCGCTCGGCGACCTGGAAGTGCGGACTCGACACGCACTTGGCGAGTTGCCGGAACAGCGGTGACATCACCTTGTTGAACTCGGCCGGCTCAATGACGTCCAGTATCTCCTCGAGCTCGTTGAGGAACATCACCTGCGGCGGCGGAGTTTGAAAGATTTTCGACTGGGAAGCTTCGTTTTTGGAAAATTTCGAGATTCGAAAAATTCCAAGAGTTGAAAAACTTCAAGAGATGAAAAATTCCAAGAGCCGATGAAATTCTAAAAGGTAAACAAACTCAAAAGGGCAAGGACTTTTAAAGTTAGAAAATGTTCAACTTTGGACTCGAGTCCAAATATCCGTAAGGTTGAAAAAACCTAGAAAGTTCAATAATCCCACGAAATAAAAAAAAAATAATGCATTGTGTTGTGGGATGTCGCGCCTTGCACTTATGTAGCGTACAACTGAAAAAAAAGTCTCGTGGCCAAAACGTAAACATAAACCAAACAAAAATAACACAAAGAAAAGCAGTAGGGATTGAAAAACAGCCGTAACGGAATTGAAAGGAATAGAAATCAAGGATGAATATACGTAATTGTAAATAAAATTATTATTCTTAGTTCTTATGCTTTAATTGGATCTGACTGTGTCTTCTATTTGGGCACTTTAGATATCTCACCTCTTTTGGAGAGTGAACCTTTGGCCAAAACTTCAACAGTCCCATGATTGTCTGCAAGAAAGAAGAAGCTTGTATATGATACATTGTATGTTACGTATGTTACGTATGTTTTGTATGTTTTTTATGTGTGTTAGCGTGCATGCGTGCGTACGTACGTACGTATGTATAGACGTAGAAATATCGTCCAATCACTGTGCATCTCTCTAGTAAGAATCGCAGTGCGTAAGAATTATTAGCCAATCACACGCTTTGTTCACATCTATGCCGAGCACTGCGAGCGTCTGCTGACACGATTCTTTCCTCTGATTATTCAGAAGAAAATTCTTCAGGTTTTTGTTGTATGCCCTTTGTGTCTATACGCATAGTAAAGTAATAATTAGAAGTAAAGGGTTTAAGAAGTTTAGAGAGTGTGCTAATCTCTGGAAAGACGTTGATTTCCATCATGAAGTTGAGAACAAAATCGCAGCTTGCAGACTAGGCTAGGTACTTGAAGGAGAAGGATGCAGTTTGTGAGCTACAGCTGGAGCTGCGTGTAGGTGATAGATCATAGCGTTGCAAGGACAAGGTAACGTAACTCAAAACCCATTTATTATTATGATATTATTATAGTATCAAGAGCTAATAAACACCTATTTTATTTAGCTCTTTAGGTATTTATTAACTCTTGATATTATATATGAACCCATTTAGGCTAGTAAAGTAATCTCAATCCGATGACATGCATAAATCAGATCCAAATACCTGGCAACTCAACGCTATATTTTCTATTTCCACACGACAAAGTGTAAAAAAAGAAAACTCGTTTTTTTCCATTGGCATTGACTGCTAGAGCGTCCAACTGCTGACTAAACAGACTGTTTATGGTAGCGTTCAGTTCACAAAATACAGATTATCATGGCTGTCTCATAAGAGCACAAATTGACAAATTGAAATGAATGAAATGAGACTAATGTTTGAATTTATTTTTTTACTACTAAAAGAAGAAGGCATCGCCATGGTCAACCAGGCTACCACCCAGACTGCTACCGTCATTTGTACCCTATGTACCACTGTACTTCCATCTGTATTTAATCTCTGATTATTTGTTGGCATGTAGGCAGTGTTGTTAATAATATTATCTCTGTACCAGCATAATAGAGTTTTGTAAGAAGACATTTTGTAGGCATGTTTTCCCAAATAGATGTTTATGTGCAACGCAATTACTAGTAATCTGGATCACAGAACTCTGTGCTCTAAATGTTAGGCAATGTCATTTTTAAACGGGCTCCAAACATTTAGAACCAGTAATATTTTTGTCAAATTACAGAAATATATATGTTGTTATTTTCAATGTAATGTTCTATTTTATGCAATAACAAAATTAAGAGTGCTTTAAAATTATGTCATGTTTATACTTGTACGTGTATGCAAGATGTATACTTGTATACGCAAGAATTGTATCTCTCTGCTCAGAGATTTTACTTCAGGAAAACCAGTGTCAATATACTATATATAGGTAAGAATGTAGAAAGTAAATTTTGTAGGAAGCTTGTGTTTCAAAACATACGTTTGTGATTTGCTCCACTGCTTGATTCAAAGTTTTGTTTATAGTCAGATTCAGATTGAAGAGCTGAACATTAATAGTGACCTGAATTACAGCACAAACATTTCAACCCATAATGTCAATTATGTCAATACATGGAAATTTGTGTTTTGTTTATCGATTTTAGTGCAGTAAATTAGCGCTTTGTGATGTCATTCTGCTCGTTAAGATTATTTATCTAGCTAACTTTCATGTTTTATGAAAAAATTGATATAATAGTGTATACAGACAAGAGAGTGATCATGATTGGAAAGGGGGCAGATGCAGGAGAGTTATTGGAAGAGGGAGAGGGGTAGAGGTATAAGATTGAGTGGAAATGGGGCCAGAGGCAGGAGAGAGATAGTAAAGGGGGAACACGGAGTGTGATTGGAGGCGGACAGCTATTTATTGAAGGAAAATGCTGAATAAAACCAGTAAGGAATAATTTATTTTAAACTTCTTGTGAAGGGTCCAGTCCATTAAGGGTGAGCATTCAAACTTCTAAGTTTCCATAGTTATCCTGTGTGTTTAATTCCTGCAGGTCGTGGTTCTCCATTGATAAACAGCATTTTTTCACGAGTTATTGCATTATTTTAACTGTTTCATTTGATAACACGAAGAGTAATCTCCCATAGGATAACACACAGATGTCTTAGACACAACACCAGGAGGCGTACATCATAATTAATAAATTTTTAATTGGAAATAACTAATTAGTGCATTTTTTCACGAGTTATTGCATTATTTTAACTGTTTCATTTGATAACAACCACGAAGAGTAATCTCCCATAGGATAACACACAGATGTCTTAGATACAACACCAGGGGGCGTACATCATAATTAATAAATTTTTAATTGGAAATAACTAATTAGTGTGCACTTTTTCATGAGTTATTGCATTATTTTAACTGTTTCATTTGATAACAACCACGAAGAGTAATCTCCCATAGGATAACACAGATGTCTTAGATACAACACCAGGGGGTGTATATCATAATTAATATTTTTTTAATTGGAAATAACTAATTAGTGTGCAATTTTTCCCACTGATAAGTTGTGCAATCGTGTTCAGTATATTTTTCTCTATCTTTGTGTAAAATTTCATGTAGATGCAGATGGGGGGGTCACAAAACATGAAAACACAAAACATGAAAACTAAAGCAGTTTTGGCTGCTCACCCGGCGGTCTAATATAAATGTACATATACATCAAGAGCGTATAAAGAAGGAGAGCATACAACGGTGAAATGCTGAAACCATGTTGCAGTATTAGTCGAATTAATAAACTTTCCCTGTTTTATGTTGACGATACTTTGCAGTATTGTTGATCAGCTGTCCTACCTTGTTAATATAAAACAAACCGCATGTCCCTACGATGCCTCTACGCTGAGATAATGAGCAGTGAAAATCTGGTATTTTAGCCGAAAACCGACTCCAGATCAGTCAGTACTGCGACTGTCTCTCGTTTTGTGCACTGTATGTTGCTTCCGGTCGCCGCTGTGTAGCGCTGACTCGATACGTTATTACTACAGCGTTACTACATCCAGCGTAAGGGGCGGGTCATCACCATGGCGATAAATAACAAGACGTTTTTGTGGAGTAATGGCTGCGTCAATGACTGGAAATGCGAGAAAAGATAGTAGTAGGAAAATAAATTTCATTGTAGTTGGGTCCAGAACCTCAATCCCGTGACCATTCTCTGGCTAACATGTTTTGACGATTGATTTGACTTCTATGGACGTTTTATAAAAAATTTAGAAACCCGGCCCCTCCCAAAAATGCAGGCATTTTTTGCTAGGGGGCCAAATCCAAAATTGCCGCCGACGCCATTTTTAAAAATCAACTTTTGAACCAGAGCAGCTAGAATCAAGTATAAATACACTTTTTCAACTAAATCAACCACGAGGATTCCGATTCTGACATCAATTTGATGCTAAACGACAAGCTATCCACTCATGAAACAAGTATACTCTGCGCGAATCAGACCATATTCTTTTCGACGGCACATCAGAGTTATTGCATCTTGAGCGAACATGAGCTATCGGTCACTACAGAGCCTCCTGCCGAGACACAGCTCTATCGTGTCCTCGCGTAGGTTCCAACAATCTCTGGGTCAAGTCATCTACAATCAAAGAGCCATCCTAACCCGGCGGAATTTGCGGACAAGATTGAGTCCAATTCCCGCCCTTCGCGATGAACGCATAGGCGACCTAGTTTAATGAACACGTCCGGAAGTGGTTCCTATGTCGAAGCAAGAAGCTCCTCCACTTTGGTTGTAAGCAGTGAGCAACTTGTTCATACAGTGCCTGTCCTGGCTCAGGGAAGACCTCAATTCAGTACAACCTTGTCCCATGCCGCCATAGGCGAGAGCCTGAGGAGAGGAAGAGCTCTCTACCTCAGCGATGCAGTCCTGCTATTCTGCTTGCGCCGAGAAGAAGAGTAGATCTGTCTCCTCAGCACACTCTCTCTCACGTCCATCCAATTCCACAGTATTGTCCGCAAATCCGACCCTACCACTAACACGGCATTCAATGCACCGTCACACTTCATGATGACACGTTCAGTAAGGATCCTGCGTCTGACTCGTGTTATCAAGCTTAGGAATGGGTATCAGCTATCCGAACGTTCTTCTCCTTCCGTGATGTTCTTGGCCATGCCATGATCTGAACGGTTGTGCGGTTTGTCCTGACAGATCCGTACTGACGGAAATACCAAGCTTCAGTATCATTGACAATTTGAGATTTTCCTCAACGACACCTGACAGGAGGGGCACTGCACACCGCAGTAAACTGGAGTTTCTAACAGCGTCTTGAAAATCGTTGTACAGGACGAAGGAGTGGCAAACACTACTGGACACGATATTGCGGATGCGCGTAGTCTAAGGACTACCAGAACTGTGTCCACAGCAATAGACCGGAGAAGTATCCCGAGATGGCAGGCAGTAAACGTGAACAAAGACATCTCATGCGTGTGAATTCCGCCCTATCATCCGCTCTCAAGACGCCGCTGGCTCCCTCTCATATCAATACAAGAGGCCTCATGCGCAAGCGAAGGCATCTATTCAAGGCACTTGCTCGCACTGACGCGATGAGGCGACCCGCCCATCAGCACAACCAAAGTATACTCGCCGCCTTATACATGGTTCATGCTTGTTAATGTGCATAAAGATAAACAAGCATATACGCGGACAGTCCATATAGTCAAGCGCGAACAAATCTGTGTAAAATGACGTCATGCACAAACTGTCTACTATCTGTCTAAGTCACACTAAGCACATGGCCATTCTGCCTCCTTAGTGGAGATCCATCCCTGTGTTGACAGTCTCATTCACCCCAGCCTGAAAGCGAGAACCCAGACCTAAACTATACCGTGACCATCTCGTCCGGTCCTTGGTCCCTGTCCATACACAGTGTGTGAATATGAAGCGGCTATCCTACAAGCGATATGCAAGGGGAGAATTAGTGTAGAGTACTGCTGGAGGAGTATTGCGAAGGCTCTGTCGATCGTTTGCCGCTTGCAAGGAAGCATTATAAGAGGGTGCTGCAAATGTTGCGCTCAATGTGATAGGTCTCACTCATCAGCCAGCTGTGAAGATAAGTCATTCCGACTTTGGCTGTTAAAAGAACAGATAACGCTTGAATTCTGAGAGATATAACCGTTCTCCAGGAAAAGCGCGCTCCTGTCATGTAAACTTGGAGATGATCTGACCTCGCGAACCTCATCCTAACTCTCTTACTCATTTAAGATAGTGACATGGCAGACTACTGAGGGATTTCTTGTCCATTACAGAGCGGCCTTAATGCAGAATTGCACAGCATATCCATGTGTATGTAAACCTGAACGAAGTATTTCTGCTCTCTACGCGCCATGATCCAATGATCGTAGGTATGCACAGAAAATATGTAACTGGAAGGTGCTTAGCCTGACTCTAGGCAACCTGACCTTCCCTCTAGCCTTATGCTACCAAGGTGCACCTTCCTCCAACTGACTTCACCCAGTCCATCACAGGCCAGCCCTACTCGCACATGGCATGACATGTGACTCGAGTGCACATGAACAACGGCAGCAAAATGAAATCTGGCCTGGCTCTCCTATCGCTTTCAGAATGAGGAAGCAGCGGTGCTGTTGCACTCCAAATCGTGAACAAGTAGCGCGAAGATCCGGGCAGCTCACATGCCGTCTGCCAACCGAAAACCAGCACGGATGAGGAAGCCAATGGTGAAGCGGCCTGAAACTGATCGAGAAAGATGAGCATGCGTACCAGGACCTAGTTACGTGCAATACAAAGAGTTGAAAACATCCTTCCCGTTTGACCATCATCCCCCCACTCCATCCTACCGCACATATACTGTCACCATTCGCGCCCCTTCCCCCCCGCCAAACCAGAATGACCTCATTGCAGACCTTCACAACTGCAGCCTTCTTACACGGAAGCAACTAACGTGACCGCTTCTTTGCGAAGAGCGGTTCGTTTCAGTAAGAATACATCCAATCTAATTGCCTCAGCCCTCTGAGCAAACGCTGACGTTCTGCCAAAAGGGACAGACACGACAAGCCCAAGGGAGGTACCTCAAGCCACAGACCATGAAGATGGAGCGTGTACGCAATTCAAGGCGTCGATCAACCTGGTTCGAAGTCAGCAAATCTAGTGACCTCACTGAGTTGCTCAATACATCGTGGTGTCCGAAAGAAAATGCTGGCATCTATGTTAACTGCAATGCACATACCGAAGACGCCAATAGAGCTAAAGCTCATCCAGTCAAATTCTCAATCTGCATATGTCGATCTACAAGAACCCTACATCGCTATCGCGACATTGGAGATGATCTGGAGAAGTCGACTCCATCACCATGAAGACCGACAAACCCACGTATGGTAGCAACATACAATGTCGACTCATGTCCACATTTTGGCAGTCTGGCATCCATTATCCCTGTCCCGACATGGAGAGCTAAACGGACATCTGGTGAACAACCCGTATGACACAGCAATACTCGAACTAAAGATGACGAGCCGAGACCTGAGGGTGGCAGGTAAAGGCACATGTCCCAACACTCTACAATGAAAATTGGGCATCCTTTCCCCTGCTGTTGATGGCATTCAAGACGCTGCTTTGTTAGGCAGTTAAGCAACAAGAGCGGCTACAAGCAATGATAGCGCTACCCTGACCTGACTTGCACAGACTGGTGAAAGCCAGAGATTTAATACTCTGTTTGGCTCCCACTGCACTAACTTGCTCAACACAGCAACCAATGCAGAACTACAGCTTATGTCAGTCTAGGCTGACACGTATACTATTCTCCACTTACCGCACTTCTGCGCGAGTCAGTTGCAATGACCCTGTTGCTTTGATGCAGCTGAATACCGATGCCTATTCTCAGCACAGTCAATCTCGCAGGTCAGCTGCCCTGTAATCCTTTGTATCAACGAGAAAGGAGGTTATAGTCTCCGTCCCTGCCTGTGACTGACGAGATAGGCAGATTGTATTGTGCAGTCTGCAACTGCAAAAATACAGGTGTGATTGCAAACCCAGGCTTCTTACGGCAAGGTAAATACTGTAGTCCCAAGGTGGCGAAGAGCCCTGTGCGCGATGCAGCGCTCACGGTGCGGAGATGATCTGCCATGGAGGACGACGGATAAGACGAACTCTTCCACCTCACACCCGAGCCGTCTATGCGACAAGAAATACTTCCATGCTGAGGGCTTCAGCGAAGTGAAGTGGAAGAGTATGAAGAAGAAATCCTATACGTTCCTCCAGATGAGATATTCTCTCGAGCAACACTGGTCTCATGCGCCAACTACCATTGGCGACTATGGCGCGCACTATTGCCCCTGAAAAACCACCCTTCTCCCACTCGTCATGGCTGGGAGTTGTGTGTGGATCGCTGTCGCCTGTTCGACACACACGACCTGCCTCTTCGCGCCATGAACTTAACCTGCACCCAGACATAGCAGAAACAGCGAAGACGATGAGTAACATTGATTCTCATGAAGGAAGACAATGAATCGCAAATACTGAGGCTTCAGAACCATAGTGTGGCATGAAAACTCCGATTCAAATTGATCTTACCTCCTTGAATTCAAATACTATATTACAGAAACATCATGTATTGCCTATATGTGACGTTAAGTAATGTGTTTTATATAATAGTGCATAGAGTGAAATATGAACAAGTTTATGTTCAAGTAAGTTTTATATTCAGTTTATACATAACTTCATTGATAAAAGTTAACAACTATAAAAACATAGATTATTTATACTGTAATTAATTGTTGTTACGTTACACTCCAGCGCTAGGTAGCCATCTTGGATATCTGGTCAAAATGATATTAAAACGTAAAAGTGATGTCGTATTCGATTCTCCATGTTTGATTTAGTGGGAGAAAAGTGTATTATAGGCTGAATCAGGTGCCACCTGGTTCAGATAGTTAATTTTTCAAGATGTGTGCTGGGGTCGTCTCTGGATAGTTTGGTCAAAATGATGTTTATAAGCATCAAATGAGTCAGAACGGATCCTCGTGGTTGATTTAGTGAAAAAGTGTATTTATACTTGATTCTAGCTGCTTCTGCTCAAAAGTTGATTTTTAAAAATGCGGTCGGCAGGCAATTTTTGGATTTGGCCCCCTAGCAAAAATGCCTGCATCTATTTGGAGGGCAGGGTTTCTAAATTTTATAAACGTCATAGAATACAACTTCAATCGTCAAAACAATGATACCTGTCAGAGAATGTCACGATTGAGGTTCGCGACCCATATGCTGCACATCTCGATAATTCTAACTATACCGTGCTTCTCTGCCATAACCTGACAAAACAAGTTACTGTGCTCTGGGTTATTAACTCCGCTTATAGTTAAAAAGTTCTTTCCGAATCATAACTAAGTCGGCAATCTCGCGCATGACGAATGTAATTAACGTTACCACAAAATCTTCAAATCAATCTGCAAAATATATTTGATAAAATTCAGGAGTTGTCATCCATTTGGTCATAGCAGGCTTCTCCAATGTAAACTGCACTGTTGTTATGATAAGGTAAATATCTGATAAATCAAATTTCCATAAGGTTCGCATTTCACATTGTGTATTTTTTATTTTTTTTTGTATTTCACAAACGCAAGTATTAAATAGAACTGCCACGCTCTGCCGCGTTGATGTGAATGAACAAATATACTTGGCTAACCCCATTCTGGGCCTTACCACCATTACAAAATTTGAGCAATATGAATATCTTGTAGACAGGACCAATATGTGCACATTTTTTCCCGGAATCGTTGGAAAAAGTCCCTTACGTTTTAATTGATTTTGCTAGGCCTGTAGTAGTTGTAAGATTGTATGTTTAATCTGAGCCATTTGTTATTACTGCGTTCTGAGTCTATAAGGTAATTCTGTCAATAATGCTCGTTTGAACTAGGGATAGCATTGATGGGCATGCTGGTATAACGTGACGTATACATATTTGATGCTGTTTTAGAGCAAAAGTACGTTTTGTACAGTTGGAAATAAAGTTTAGGACATACAGACAAAAAACCAACGGTAGCAGCAGGAACGTACAAACCACACAGATATGAGTGGCCAACTCCTAATTGTTGGATTCTCGTAGAAATTACTATGTTTTATGAACCAGACACACATACCAAACCACCACTAATACACGTAAAGACTTGCACTGTGGACACGCTCATATGTGTAAGCGTAACAGACATATGGTTTACCGTACTATTGTTACGTCATAACCGTTATCGAACATTAAATCCCAGGCTTTACGACCTACAGCCACGCTTGTCTAACCGATGAATTCACGATGGTGCAGAGTTCGAATAACTTCAATTTAAAACAATGAAAAGATAAAACAGTGAAAAGAGTACGAGAACAGTTGAAACGAATACTTAAGGCATAAAGAGAACTGTGTATGAGAAGTCAACACTGAAGTTGTGTGTGCGAAAGGATCCGTCCAAAAGTTCAGACTCGCTCGAATGCTGAATTCCGCGCCACAGGCATTGACTTTCTCGACACTCGTTTATGGAACCAACCAAACCCTTCCTTGGAATACGCAACCAATTTCCGATGCAGAATCCATCATGCTCCCGATCCCAACTTTTAGATACTCCCGCAGGAATCTCTCAGTGTGGCTAGTTTTCAAGTATTCAAATCTGCTGCGAGAGAATTACTTCGGACAACGTAAAGCAAGGACCGTGTCTTGCAACCCCTGAAAATCGCGCGATCGTCAACAGCGGCGCTCCTAACTGGTTTCAGCTAATGCATCCGCATCCTACAGGCACTCGAGGCAGACACGCGGTCTCGAGCGATATTGTTCCGAACATTCCAGCTAACCGACTAGATGAGAGCGTGTGAGCGAAGACCTCACCTGTGCTATAGTAGCCGAACCCAGGTGACAATGCACTTATCCAGGTGCAAATACACGTCTGGTTAGCCCCAGACTGTTCAAGACATCACAACTCACGGCTTAGGTCATAAGTAGTCGAGTAAAACGGGAGGAAAATACAAACGAAACACCAAAACATACCACTTCGCCTCTCCTACCTACCTAACTAACATGCATGACACAGAAACTCTCAGAGCCACAATAACTGGGAGCACAGATGTTGACAGCCCGTATGAATCACCGAAGCTGCGGCAAAGTAAGCTGGTCCGAAGATTAACTCACCCAAGCTGATTCAGGAGAAGAGACAACGCGCCACATGCCACCGCCGCTGGTTAGGGACGACAGAATAAATTTCAGTGATGTTAATCAACCGCGGTAACTCACCCCGAGCTGTCCCGTGTTTCTAAAGAGTCACCGCCGACCACACAGAATCTTGAATTGTAAACGGGAAAATCAATATTCGATCAATTTTGCGATATTTGGTAAATATGAAAAATTCATATTCTAATTGGTATGAATCTTGTAGCATTTCATTACTTGTCCATTACTTGTGGATTTTCATTATTATTATTTATTGTAAAAAGAGATGTAACGTTTAACGACATGGTTAGGCGGAACATTGTTGTACGTCATACCGTCTATCACATTAACCAGGCTTCTACACACACCTTGTCTACCGAGTAACTTACATACGGGTGCAAATTAAGACTACACATCGCTCCGGATCATATATTAATGGAGACGTAAATTTTATGCTGAAGATTATTATTATGTTAAACTAAGAAGGTCATAATTGCATTACTATGCCCTTGCTGTATCTCCCATACCGTTAGCCGTTAATTATCCTGGCTTCCTTGAGTAAATTCGTGACCAGACGCTTGCTATTGGCTCGCGCCGCGTGTTCGATCGTCAGAGCCTACCTCTAAAAGCACTTCGGATATGTTCGTAGCTTTGGCTAATTGAACCGCTGATTTTAACGATAGACGGGATACTGCCTATTGTATTTTGCGCCATATTCGCGACCAATTCTTCAGTCTTCCGATAGTTTCTCAGCTCCTTCATTGTTGGATGAGGCCTCAATATTCAAGCAGCGCCTCCAAGCATGACAGAATGTTACATAGACATCCCAGGCATAGATGTTCCATTCGGAAGCAAGATCTTCCTCAATTGGGAGGAGACTTTCGTCAAGGTTACGCTGTATGCCCCAACGAATCAAAACTATATTGAAAACACTGCCTCCAACGTTCCATACATATGGCCCACACTTTAAAAGTTGTTAAGTCTGACTAAAGATATGAGAACGCAAAATCACAAGCCACTACGCGCAATGCTCCTACAACTCGCAACGCGAACCAACAGCCAGCTGACTAATGGCAGCCACACATCATCTATTGAAATCCCGTCCCAGTGCAAATCAATCAGCGAGACATGCGACAAACATAAGTGGATGCTGTGTTTACCAATGTATCCCGTTTCCTCAAGAACTGTCTAACGTTCTGTGATAGCCCACACCTCTCAATGAGACACTCAATGACAAAGTCAATCAAAGAAACCTATCCAGGTTTGTCCAAACCGCTACACGTTGTAAGACAGACAAAGCCATCTGCGCATGATGAAAACGAGGCCAACAACTACTCCATGGAATTCTTTACTCCATCACACCCGTACCTAGCATACCTCCACACCGCCTCATTTTAAAAACCAGGAGCAATAATCAATGACTATACGTCAACAGATATAACTAAAGGAATTCTCAACGCACCAGGACTGTACAATAGAAGCCTACACACTATATTCCTATGTGCCGAAAGCCCAACTCGAAGCCACGTCTCACAAGGGAAGAGTCCTCATCCTGCGTTTAACTTGCTCCATCCGACGCAACGATTCTTCACATGCATACACGAATTCAATTTTCACTCAGACTTGTCTACGCTATGACTATAAAACAATCTCCCAGGGCCAGAGTTTCAAGCAACACGGACTCTACCTCCAGGCCCCTGGTTCTCCATGCCAGCTATGTGCCCTTTCACAGTGCCAGAGGCTACCCAACATCTCCATCAAAGTGACAAAACATTCATCACAAGGCCTTTTCAACAACAGGACTCCTGCCCCAAAATGTCATTTACAAGGAATCATTTTTAAAGACTATCGGTACCACAACCCCATAACCGACTCCACCTCTAATATCAACTCTACATACTACTGTACCCTGTTTAATTTGGGTTGTCTTCATATCCGCAAATTAAAAAGTAAAATTAGCATCTTAAGAATTTACAGTACCGCCGCAAAATAAAACAGGCCGCAAATATTACCGTACAATATGTCAACCAGTCGACTTTGGCCAAACATTATCAACTCGTGCGGAGCACGTAATGCTAGATATTACTATCTGTATACCGAATAATACGTAAGCAGTATTTGCAGGTATTTACAGTAATATGCGCAAAACAATAGCACTAATAAAAAACACTAACTGTATTGGCAGCTGATTTATTCTTCTAGATAATGTGATAATAAATAATTTTGTCTGTTTCCTATGTTCCCCAGTGAGGTCCCATAGACCGCCCATTCAACCTCCATACGCTTAGGTATCATCAAATTCCCACAACCACTTGTCCACAAACAGACACCTATTTACCTGCAGATAGCGATATTCATACTTTTTCCTAGTTGCAGCTCACCACCCGTCTCACACCCCCACCAACTACACGGCCCCTCAACACCGTACATCGTAATGGAGTGAAGTGATCCCACTCTTTACCACTGTATCTTGTTCTACTCCCACTCGCCACAACACACATATGACCCCGTTAATACAACACCACACACCACCCACTGACACCACAACATCCAGTGGATACACCGAGGCAGCTTTTAACCGGTCCCCGGCTCAAATCGTGGAGGACTATACCCCGCCCTAAAAAACCGCCAATAATACGCATCCAGATGTCCAAGACACACACACCCACACACACTACTCCCCGCACGAGCCACTCGAGAAAGACAGACTACAACAACACACTTGGCGATAACTTACGTCCAATTAACTAATATAAATATAAACTATTCGCTGAACAAACTTGACACCACATTCCCCACCACAGACGAGAGCAAGCAGACCAGAAAGCTCAACTCAGATTGACGTTTGGGTTTCCAGGTCTGAGCGACGCTCATTGATCCACTGTCTTGCGGCACCTCCCACACCTGAAACAATGAAACCACAAACACCTCCACACACACACACACCGCGAACGACCGTGTTCAATCTATGATTTCCACAACGGTACAGAGCTGTCGAAGACAAAGATGCCGATCACCAATCAAGCAAACCAAACACACACGCACAATCGATTTTTCCGGAATTTCCCTGAAGCTACCGCCCAGACTTTCCATGCGAGGATCCACTGAGACAAGCGATGGTAAAAATACAAGCGAATCGTTGCACAGCAACCAGTAGTGACAGAATTGGGTCAAACACCTCACACCGCTGTCAAATGAAATTCCCTCCTCCACCATCCACTTTCACGCCTAACGACCACAGCACCAAAGCAGAGGGACGAATTGCCGCGAAAGCCTCGTGAACACACATAATTCCCTTGCTGGCTGAGGAGACGAAAGATTGGCGAAACTGGCAGACCTAACGCACCCCTCGTCGCAAAGGTATCAACCACGACCCTTTGATGACAATACATGACTCTGCTACCGCATCCCCCCCCGTACCAGCAAATCGCTAAACGAAACTGTACTACCGCCCACTCCGTCATGCAAGCCCACTCCTCGCTTGTTGCACAACACACACACTTTTTATCCATGGCGGCATCAGACTCAGCAGTCGAGCTTCAATAAGACTGGACACGCTCATGAAGAGCGTATAGAAACCTCGAGCCCAGTTTTGACAAAATCGCCGCGAACTAGCAATCACAACAATCAGCTCTCTCCATTCCATTAGTTTGTTGGCTTTAGTTAGGTTAGGACAGATACTGGTAATGGACTTATAGTTATCAATGGCAGTTTTTCGAAGTAAATAACAAAAATTGATACATGGGCATAGGGTGTGAACTGATCTTCGGAAGCGACGTCGCTAGGGGTGAAACAAGTTCAAAAAGTGAATAGCACCTGCACTAACCAGACCTAACCAATAGTTAACATTTAGCAAATGCACAAGAGCTTGCTCGTACTCGTAGGGTTTAAGTGCAGTTGAGTCTCTAAGGTATTCGCATTTTTGTAATGAGTATCGGTTCGACGACAGAAAACATTCGAAGCCTTCCGAGCTTCTATCACCCAGCAATAGTTAAATCATACCCCGCGGCCTGAATACACGTGTCTTCAATTGCTTTCAAACCGCTTGCAGCCCGAGCGTCTGAGCAGAAACGCTTCGATCACAATGAAAATCCAGTCGTTGCTATCTGAGCATGTAAAACAAACGGCAGATGAGACGATATGCTAGAGAAGCGTTGCCAAGAGGACGGTGTTTATCCAAAGTGCTCGCGCCCGCAGGTCTCGGCAAGGACGCACGCCATGCACACCCGCAGAACTCCAATCGACAGTACTGCCAGCGACGCTAAGCTATGGATTCCGTGCCCGAATGAATGGCGGCGCATCGCATCCATAGGCTCCACGAATCAGCCCGCCAATTAGTGGGGGACACACGATGATAGCACCATCTTGGCACGTCAACAGTTTGACTGTTTAAAAACTGCTAGACCGAGTAATCATGTTCGTAACCCGGTCGACTGTGTCACGCGAAAAATCACAGATCTACTCCGTAAACTGCGAAGAGTTCTGACATATCCGCGAACCCTCTTGCCCAGTATGCGAAACGGCCCTGTCAATATCAGGAAACCCTACCGGCCCTTAGTTCTCGCCCGTCCTTATTATCGCGCCCCCACGCTGCAACGTTTGACTAAGTTCCAATGGCCGAGCCTCGTGACGTATGAGTGTAACGCAGTGCCTCCGCCTGCCCCGCCCCCTATAGCCCCCATAAGACTGCACTCTCTTCACCTCTCG